TTGTTTTTTTTTTTACCATTATCTTCCGGAATTTTCTTTCTTTTCAAAAACCGCAATTCTGTTTCTTATTTCTTGCTACATTTCCCCCCATTTTTTTATTAGCCTTTCTTTCCATTTCACAGACTCCGTTTTTGTGATTCCATATCTGACGATCTCTTGCATCACATTATTCATACCTTCATTCATTTTCTTTTACGGTGGTCTTCACTACAAAGCTCCTGATTTTATTTAAAATATCCATTTTTTCCTCCGTTGACTCTTCTATCAATTTGTATTTTCATTTCAGAGTGTACTTACATCTCGACCCACTGTCATATACATTATTTACATTATTCGGACTATTGTCCTCATCTTTGTCGGCCGTTGTACGCTCCGGCCTTCTTCAGGTGTTTGAATGTCGAACTTAACCCTTTATTTCTCTCACTGAGGTAGTCTGTTCTAGTTCCACGTGTCATGCTTAATGGATGTCAGTTATCAGTTATCTCCTGTTAATTTCCCTCTCCAAGTTCTCCACTAACCTTAACCAGGTATTGAACTCACACTATTTGGGTTCTGTCACTGGATCTAACCAACGCCTTTATCCACTGTGGCATGTAGCGTTGAGGACATCTGTGTATGAATTTCTGAAACGTTGTAATAAATATGGCGACAAAGATGAGGACAATAGTCCGAATAATGTAAATAATGTACATAACACCTCATCTCAGAAATATAGACAGATATTGAAAGGCCGAAACGTTGTAATAAATATGGCGACAAAGATGAGGACAATAGTCCGAATAATGTAAATAGTGTACATAATACCTCATCTCAGAAATATAGACAGATACTGAAAAGCCGAAACGTTGTAATAAATATGGCGGCAAAGATGAGGGCAATAGTTCGAATGATGTAAAGAATGTACATAATAACTCATTTCAGAAATATAGACAGATACTGAAAGGCCGAAACGTTGTAATAAATATGGCGACAAAGATGAAGACAATAGTCCGAATAATATAAATAGTGTACATAATACCTCATCTCAGAAATATAGACAGATACTGAAGAGCCGAAACGTTGTAATAAATATGGCGACAAAGATGAGGACAATAGACCGAATAATGTAAATAGTGTACATAATAACTCATTTCAGAAATATAGACAGACCACTGTCATATGTTATTATGCAATTCAATGTTGTTATTTTTTGTAACTAAAACTGATATTAACCGACTGATGCGTGGAAATATTTTCTACATATACATTTATTCATATATGAAATACATTGTATATGTTTCTGGCTGTAATCTCCTCTATGTGTCATGTTCCGTCAGGAGGTAGGCGATTATGACTCTCCACAATTTCCTGTCCTTTGTAGCTTTTAATACATTCCGCCTTTTCATTATTTCTCCTATTGTCGATAAAACTTGAAAAAGAAAAAAACTACTGTGCTATAAGCAAGAATTGATTTCGACCCTTTATATCCGCTGTTGATATATCAGCTGTTATTATGAATAGAATCAATGTAGGAATTCAGTCTTAGGCATCACAAAAACCTTTGACAAGTATTAACACAATTCCCATTAAATGGCTATTTCATTTAACTGTCCGATACAGCCCGCATTTATTTACACATGGCTTCTTTGGCAACACGATGAAGACTGATCCAAAGAGACCTTCCGGTATTTCGCCATTGTCATTTATTTCATTGAACATTTCTGTAATCTTATCCATCCTGAAATCTTTGAAGGCTGATATTCTTTAGAATCCTATCCAGTCATTCTGATTTCTTCCTTTCTTTCATTTTTATTTTATTTTATTTCTTTCGTTCGTTCTTTCTATTCTGTTTAACTAGCTCTTTCTTTTTTTTCTTTTTAACTAGATTTCTTTCTTTCTATTTAACTAGCTCTTTCCTTCTTTCTTGTTTTCTTTATATTCTGTTTAACTAGGTCTTTCTGTCTTTCTATCCTGTTTAACTAGCTCTTTCTATCTTTTTTCTTTCTTTCTTTCTATTCTTTTCAAATCTTTCATTTTTCGTTCTTTCTGTTTAACTAAATCTTACTTCCTGTAAGAAACAACTTCTTTTTATTCTTTATTTGTTTGCGGCAAATCCTATTTAATTTTTCTTGTATTTATTTTCCATATTCCTTGTTTTTTTATGCTTCTGTTCATTTCATTTTTGTCTGTTTTTTGTTTCATTGTATCTTGCGACACGTGTTTATATCGTTCCCTTTTTCCTTCATTTAGTTTTTTATTATCCTGTCTTTGTTTTTTGTTCTTTCTCATTCATTCTTTCACGACTTAAAAGCAGGTTGTGTTTTCTTTCCGTCTTTCTTTCACTGCTTTTGGTTTCCTTCCCTACCCTATTTCTCATCAATTTTTATTTCGTTCTAAAATTGAAATATTTACATCACACCCTTTCTTCCTTATATTTTTTTTTTTCTTTCACACCTTTTGCGCAAACGTTTGTATATATATATATATATATATATATATATATATATATATATATATATATATATATATATATATATATATATTATAACTTTCGTAACATTTAATCCAATAGAGGGCTCAATACAAATTAAAGCGATATTATTTATTTTAGGATATTACACCGAAAACGTAGCAAAATCGCTACACAGTTGCAGTCGTGTTTCGATGCGTATCAAAGTTTCTCCTCGGGCTATTGCACATTACTGGCGAGTGAATGATCTATTTAGGTTTAAAAGAAAAATGCAAACTATTTTTACGAGAAAAAGAAAAAAAATGGCGGTTTGTAAGGTTCGTGGGCGTTGCTTTGATCAACCAATCAAATATGACTTACGTTAAATTTAAACTAAACGAAGAAGCAAAAATTAAAAAAAAAATATATTTTTTTATATAAATGGGTCTTGATGTATCTTATCAAAAGAACGCCATTGGGTTTTAAGGTCCAGTATAGTTTCCATTTGAATATCTAAATGCTTGAATATATAATTCCACAGAGTTTCCGCTGTCAGCTCAAAAAGTCTAAATTTTACATTTAACATATAGCTTCCTGTTGTGTATGATACACCTAATTTACATAAGCGGACTACCGACCATATAAATATGGGTTGGTACCGGAAGACGGGGAAGATAGTAGAGATTAAGAAATTGAATCCAGAGACTCTGCCCGACTGCGATTTAGTCAACCCATTATGCAGGAACAGTCTTCCCAAGAATATACCAAACTAACTGTAAATATTGTGTACCTATTCTTTGTTTCAATACATTTTGTTAACGTACATTTTGTGTTGTATTATTCCATGCTTATTTAAGCTTCAACACTTCCTCAAGAAATTATGGTATGTATGTTACTGTTATGAAATCGCTGAACAATAATCTCTATAAACCTACCACAGCTAAATCCAAGGTTACGTGTATATTTACAATCGAAATAAAATTTATTTAAAGAGATCTGTTAGTGTTAGATGGTATTCACATTATAACCATTTGGTTCAACTTTAAAACATATTTCTATTTCCTCTTCCTCACATAACAGGTACTGGGAAAGTATTTGAAGAAAGATATGCCTCAATTTCGCTATAATTTAAATTAAAACTTAAATCATAATAACGCAATATTTTTTAAATATAATATAACATAACAAAATATAACAACATATTAACTTTCAAAAAATTAATTAAAAAATATAACTTTGAAAATATATCATAAAACAACAATTACAAAATATAAATTTCAACGAACAATAAGAGAAACCAGTGTAAATATTTTTTTAAAAAATCACCACACACACACAAACACACAAACACACACATATATATATATATATATATATATATATATATATATATATATATATATATATATATATATTTATATATATATATATTCATACAAAAAAACAAATACAAAGTTAATGATTTAATTGGCGAGAAATCCATCGTCGCGAACAATTCGATAATATACAAAACCCCCGAACCCGAATATATAAACATCAAAATAATGTAAAATGTTCACATGAAGGATAAATTGTAAAATTATAACATTTTTTAACGGCAACAGTTTAATAAACAATAGAATATAAATAAGTTCGAACTGATTGTGAGATTAAACGTTTGTATTAAAAGAAATTAGAAACGTGAAAAGATTTATCGATTTTGCATATGTTAATGGAAAAAAGGCACTCATACCCATTCTAAAAAGATTGCTTGGAGTGAATTAAGCTTTTAATGGGTAAACAAATCAAAATGTTATTTTGAATCATATATATATATATATATATATATATTCATAAGATAAAATTAACAAATACATCCCCATGCCAGCAACCAATAAAACAGTACAAATGACCAAGAATACAATTCTATCAGTCATGAATCTTGCCAGACTTTATCTTAAAACAATTTAATAGTGGCCGCATGACCGACACATGGATAGACTAAAATTAACGATGAAAAACAAATGAAATCTGCTGATAAAGAGACAGTCATTCACACATGTTGTTCAATGCTAATAACAAGCAGAAGTTATTTTTTTGCTCCTGATGATGGCCATGCGGGCCGAAACTATTCGAGGAACCTAATTGAAATAATAAAACACAAAAAGAAAAAATAATATACACACAAGTGTGTCTGAAAATTTTAATTTTTTTTGAAATTTTTATTGTTCAAAACACACACACACCATATATATATATATATATATATATATATATATATATATATATATATATAAAAATATGAGAATAAAAAGCTAATTCTTAGTTTGAGATTAAACTATGAGAACATAGAGGGCTCAATGTTTAAATCGAATGAACCTATATATATATATATATATATATATATATATATATATATATATATATATAATAAATCCTCTAGTTAGTGTTTCATTCAATGCTAATTATCTAGCGAAACACTGGAATCAATTCCACCTGATGATTGGCTTTGCCTGGAACACTGAGTAGCGAATTTAGTATATATATATATATATATATATATATATATATATATATATATATATATATATGATATAATGGAATATGCATACACATGTGTTCCCCCTCACTGAAATATGATTGGCTGGTGTCCGTCATAAATACCGACGGACGTGTAGGAGAGTCAAGAGCCTTAATCTGAGAGCTAAGTCTATAACGACGCCCACTGGACTACGCCATTGATCTACACTTCTTACCTGTGATTACGACGCGTACCAGTCGATTACTGCTACCATATTCTACTTGGTTATACTAGCCCAAAACCACTTAGTTACTTCGTTCAAATATATCCCTTTCCGGGACATATCAGCATATATATATATATTTCCAAGAGGATAAAATCCAGGTAGAGCTCTATGTACAAGACAGTGCAAGTATATATATATATATATATATATATATATATATATATATATATATATATATATATATACATACGTACGTATATATATATATATATATATATATATATATATATGTGTGTGTGTGTGTGTGTGTGTATGTATGTATGAGAATGTGTGTATATTTGTAGAGAAGTATGCGTGTAGAAGCGAAGAATTGAGCCAGTCTTCCAACACTAATTTCAATAATTCTTATTTATTTGCTAAGTATTTTTTTTTAAATTGAAAGAAATGAGTTTCAAATGTTCTATGAGAAACATCTTCAGACAATTTATTTTGTGTATCCTTTTTACAGTACAAGCAAATTAATTGCGTTAGTATAGGATGAAGAAAAAATGCTTCTACATGTGTGCGGACACATGTGACACGTATTTCTTTTTCTGTGTTAACTGTAGTTATCGATTGCATGAAGTTGTTAGCGCTCGTAAACTAACCTAGCATCCATGCTTTGGTAATAAGATATACTCGAATACATATGCAAAAGATGTGAGTAATTAATTAAGTGTAGGAATATCAATTTTGTTTGAGTGACAACCAATTGAACAAACAACCTGGTCAAAGGTTCACTGAAAGTCTAATAGCAAACAAGAATTGATCACATACTTAGTAGTCTCCGGAAGAAAACAAAATTAAGATTTATTTATCTCAAGTTTATTGGTTAGTTATTTTATTCCCCATTTTATTAATCTCTTTTTAGGAAGGGAATTATTGTCTAACATATTCTGATGTGAGGCTCCAAAATTGCATTCTAAGAGACAGCTTATCGTCTGCCAGTTAAAAGAATACTGCGCGTCTTGTACAAGTTGGTTAATATATATTATTACATACTTGAATCCGGTTTTGTAAAGAATGAGTTTAAATATATATATATATATATATATATATATATATATATATATATATATATATATATATATATATATGTGTGTGTGTGTGTAGAATGTGTGATGTGTAGAATATATATATATATATATATATATATATATATATATATATATATATATATGTATATATATGTATATGTGGTGTATGTGTCAGTGTCCGTGTGTTTACATACACAAATGCCTGTGTGTGTGTGTGTTTTGGAACCCTTTTTCTGAATTGTAGAAAATAAAATATATATATATATATATATATATATATATATATATATATATATATATATATATACGTGTGTGTTTGTGCGACTGTGTGTGTATAAATTAAGATATAGAATAATGAAAACGTTTTGAAAAAGTAAGATAAATGGAAAACCATTTCATAGAACCTAGATTTGATTACGTTTTTCCACTAACTAGGCTTCATCAGAGTAAAAGATAACGACACATGTTTGTGTATTTTTAAATCGTCAATCATAACCTGGAGTTTCATATATATATATATATATATATATATATATATATATATATATATATATATATAATACCATTTAATGATTAGTAAAGATAATTCCAAGGTGGATATACATCTAAAGAGAACTAAAGAGAATAGACCAATTTAATAATGATTACGGAATCCTTAAAAATGAATTCGGTCAGGTGATTTATTTCGTGCTCTTAAGATGTCCATATCTTCAGACCATTTTTTTTTTTTTCTTTTTTTATTTGTAAAAGTTTTTCTGAAGAGATGGTCATCTGAATTCCCCAAATAAATTAGGCACCTGACCGAATGGATTTTTAGGATTCTGTATTCATTATCTATCTATCTATCTATCTATCTATCTATCTATCTATCTCTCTGTATATATATATATATATATATATATATATATATATATATATATATATATATATATGTGACAAATGCATAAAGTACACTCGTTTAACTATGTACTATGTAAGTTTTAAATATCATATTTCATTTTCTTTTGTCACTGGTCGTTAATATTCAGTGATTGAAAACCAGTTCTTAAATAAAATGAAACCGAAGTTAAAAATGTATCTGATTAGCCTCAACATAAACGCCTTTTTCATGAAGAGTGCTATGTTTTGTCTTATAGTGATATTAAACTACCGGGGACAATCCTTCCTTTTTCTATTTAAAGGATTTTCCCTATATCATTATCTGGCAACCATTTTTTTTTACATCCTGAATATTTTCGGACGAGATAAATCTAAAAAAGCATTTTATTAAATACATGCATGCATATATATATATATATATATATATATATATATATATATATATATATATATATATATATATATATATATATATATATAAGGGAGAGAGAGAAGTAAAGAGAGACAGAATTAGAGAGAATAAGTTGAAAAATATAATTTTCTTTCTGCGCGAATTCATACTTTTGTGTAATGGGTATTGCAGTATTCAATTAAGTATATTTCGGAACATATGTGGACAGACAGTTTCCTTATGACTGAAATATGTGGGAAAGGAACCAGAATTTGTATGACTTGTGTCTAAGGTTGTAATGATTTTGCATTATATAAAAGAATTTGGGGGCGTAAATGATTGGGACATTGCAAAAAATAAAGGACTTCTGAAATAATAATAGTAACAATATTAGCAAGCTAAATAATAATAATAATAATAATAATAATAATAATAATAAGCACAATACACCGGCTGAAACTGCGAAAACTGAAGGTTTTATCCTTGCTGCGCAGGACCAATGCTTGCTGACTAGGAATTATCAAGCACATATACTAAAATATTGTGTCAGCCCAAAATGCAGATTCTGTGATAAATATCCAGAAACGATTGATCATCTTGTATCAGGTTGCACGATGTTGACACCCACTGAATATAAAACCCGACATGGCAGAGTGGGCCAATATCTGCACTGGAAAATCTGCAACTTCTACGGAAAGAAATTGGTATGAACATCACCCCGACCCTGTTACGGAGATAGGAACTGTTACAATTCTATGGGACTACACAATACACACTGACAGAACAATCAAAGCCAACCGCCCAGATATTGTTATTAAAGACCACAAACAAAAACGGTGCATCCTTATTGATATGGCAGTCCCTGCTGACTGCAATGTATCTTTGAAGATATTCAAAAAGTTGTCAAAATACAAGGACCTTGAAATAGAAATCTCGAAAATGTGGCATATGGGAACATCAACAATCCCTGTTGTGTTTGGAGCTCTAGGACTGGTTGGAAAAGATTGCAGTAGACTAATTGACTCAAGGATATACAAAAAATTGTTCTGACAAGTACAGCCCTCACTTTACGAAGGGCTTTATCTATGTATATATATATATATATATATATATATATTATATATATATATATATATATTTTGTCAGTGGAAAGTGTCATGATGCCATTTCTAACCATAGGTTTTTAGGCGGGACCGGGAAAGAAATGTGTAATCAAAGAAAATAAAAATGTGTAATCAAAAGAAATAATAATAATAATAATAATAATAATAATAATAATAATAATAATAATAATGATAATAATAATAATAAGAAGAAGAAGAAGAAGAAGAAGAAGAAATCTCAAAAGTGTGGCACATGGGAACATCAACAATTCCCGTTGTAGTTGGAGCCCTCGGACTAAATGAAGGGATACCTGGAAGCCCATGCCTTTAAGAAATACAATTTTTTTCTCACGTATACAGCCCACACCTTACGCAGGGCTTCGTCTATGTAATTTTTTTTTCCACTGGAAAATGTCATGATGTCATTTCTAACATTAGGTCCCTGGGCGAGATCCTGAAAGAAATGACTACACAACAAAAAACAAAAGAAATAAAATAATAATAATAATAATAATAATAATAATAATAATAATAATAACTAACGCTGATGCTGATCGTATGCTTGTATTCAGATCCGATTTTTCTATTTGTGTGTTTTCGAAAATGATCAGTGGAATATGTCATGAAGCCATTTCTCTCTTCAGGTTGGGGCCCGGGAGGAAATTAGAATACAAGAGAAATCAAAGATGATGATGATGTTAATAATAATAATAATAATAATAATAATAATAACAACAATAATAATATCAACAATAATAATAATAACAAAAATAGTAAATAATCATAATAACAATAATAATAATAGCAATAATAATTATAACAATATTGACAATAAAAATAATAATAATAATAACTATGTTAATAATAATAACAATAATAATAACAATAATACTGTACTAATCTGATAAAATTCTGTTTTTGACTGATATATCTTTGAGTTAAAATTTCAATTTTCCTGTTTAGCAGGTCGAGAAATGACCCCAACATGTAAAATATTTTTTTCTTCTTCCTATCCTTTTGTTTAATGTATTCCTTGATGGCTCTTTTGCAAATCTGTAGTGGTGGAGGGGGTGCTGCTCTACCCTATAAAACGTGAACATTTGTTGAATGACATTCTGTTCCTGCCTCTCAACATGTCAGAAATCGTAAAGTTTATACCATTTTAAATTACGCCTTTTCTTTAATTTCATTTTAAGTCTCTTTGACGATATTCAATTTGATTTATTTTATTTTTTTCTAATTGTCTTTACATTATTTGGGTTTTCTTTTTATTATCTATATTTTAAACATTCTTTTCCCCACACCTCCAGCGGTAACTTCCATTTTTTTTTTGCTTCTCGACATAATATACAGTGCTGTTCGATAAAAATGACTCACCTGATTTTTTTTTTTACTTAAAAATTGTTTCGGCTATTGTTTTTGGGGTCAAACTAATTTTTAATCTTACTAATATAAAGACCCCTTCCGGCCCACCTAGTAAAAAAGTTTACTCACCCTAAAGTATTCTATTGAAAATTATAATTTTGGATATAAATGAGATTTAGGGAAAAAACTCTGTGCAAAAAAAAGTGACTCATTTATTTCCTGCAACTAGTAAGCAATATAAACAGAACCGAACAGCTTCAAATAAAGAATAATACAGGTATAATTTATTTATAATAGGTAATATCGTTCGAAATATTTAATATTCTATGGGTCCTCCTTTATTTTGAATAACCTTTTCAATCCTTTTTGGCATTGACTTGATTAGGTTCTGGCAAATCTCATCTCCAAGCATTGAATTCCATTCGGATATGAAATTCACAATCAAATCCTCTTTCTTGCTCAACTGTTTTCTCGAGAGCCTGTACTTTATAATGCTCCATAAGTTTACTATGGGGTTGAGGTCAGGAGAATGGGTCGGCCATGTCATAACACTCATCTGCTTCTCTTCAAAGTATTACTTCATCAATTTTGATTTGTGACAGGGAGTATTATCCTGCATAAAAATGAGCTTGGTGGGGTCGATTTGCACCCTTTCAGCAGAATGAAGCAGACAAGACTCTAAAATTCTCTTGTACTGCTCACTCTTGAGAGTCTTTTCAATAGGTTTTAAGAAACCAGTTCCATGAAGAGAAAAGCATCCCCAGAACATTATACTGAACGGATGCTTGACAGTACTTACTGCTAAATTCAAAGAGCTTTCAAAGCTTCTTCAGATTTTAGATCGCTTATCCTTAAAATTAGGCTCAACTTTCGTTTCAACGGAGAAGAGAACATTTAGTCCAATATATATATATATAAATTCGATTAAACATGAAACAGAACTAATGCTTTTGATTTAATTTAATGAATAATTTAATTTAATTATATAATTAAATATGAAGATTTAGCTTCGGTTTTTGAAACATGGTAATTCCTGTATAGCGAACGAACAATATTTTAAATCAGTTAATTTATAATATTTATGATCTGTAAATTTACATTGAGCACTGTTTTGTAAAAATAAAAAAATATCAATAACAACACCGGATCAAATATCTTACTGTTCGGGTAAAGGTTGTTTAACACTGTTTATTATAAACAGAGCATTTACTTAAATATTTTTATCTATAAAAAGAATGCATAAACATAAAAATGTCTTTTTATATATATATATATATATATATATATATATATATATATATTTATTTGTTTGAATAAACACAGATCACTTTAAGGTTCCATGTAATAAATTGGCTGTGGTGAAATAATTTATTAGATGGAACCTTAAAAATGGTCTGCTTTATTCAAATATATTTGCTCTGAACTTACATTTAGCTCTCCGGATATCATCCTTCTTGGGTCTACCCATACGGATTACCAAGTTTTGCATATACTAAATATATATATATATATATATATTAAGAAATGGACAAGGTCCGACAATTTATTTATTAAAGACATTTTTATGTTTAACATTGTTATTTATAGATACAAGTATTTAAGCAAATGCTCTGTTTATGATAAACAGTATTAAATAAAATTTACCATTTCTGAATGTCCGAGAAATTTTCATAGAAAATATTCGTTCTTTGACAGGATTCGAACCTGCATCCTATACGGAACCGTCATATACGTCTCGTCTCGGCCACAAAGAACCTTTCGTTTATAAGCAGTAATTTCGACCTTGTCTACCGAAAGGTTCTTTGTGGCCGAGAAGGTTAAGGAACGTCAGCATAAATGACGGTCCCGTATAGGGTGCAGGTTCGAATCCTGTCAAAGAACGAATATTTTCTATGAAAATTTCTCGGACATTCAGGCCGGTAAATGTTATTTAATACTGTTTATCATAAACAGAGCATTTGCTTAAATACTTGTATCTATAAATAACAACGTTAAACATAAAAATGTCTTTAATAAATATATATATATAATATTAGTGGTAAATATACGTACATATGCAAAATATATAAAAACCTATACATGTATATTTTTTTAATAAAAATTCCAAGAGGATAGAATCCAGGTAGAACTCAATGTCCAGGTCAGAGTAAGGATATAATAAAAAGGCTAAACACTAATATTTCATGGTCATAATTTATTCCATTGGAATCGTAAATACGATCCAATTCATCAGACCTACAAATTCAAAAAGAAAACAGAAAAAAACAACTCCGGAAATAAAAACAGAATTTAGAGAGAGGGTAAGTATGAGGGGTAATATACTAGAGAATGGGGGAGATCAAACCTTAACAGAGATTTTTAGGAGAGGTGAGTGGAAGGGGTTTAAGTAAGAGAAATATGAATGTTGTCGGATGTCTAATGCATAAAGATACATTTCGTGGTGACATACACACAGGATCAGAATAAGATCAGAATAAGAGGGAGGGAAAGACGAGGTGGGAGATATATATATATGTGTGTGTGCGTGCGTGT